GCTTTGAATTGGGAATAGGGCTGAAATGGTAAATAAAAATTGGTGAATTAAATGGTTTTCTTATATTTTTACAAATCAAAGTGCATGTTTGGTCAAAAGTTTAAACAGCAAAATCATGTAATGACATGTCACGGATTTTTTTTTTGTTTGTTCTTCTAACATTTGAAACAGGATAAATATGGCAGGATTATACAACTAGACCCATCCACCTAAAGTGAAGGGGTGGGAAAGGAGAGTATTGAACAATGAATCAGCCATCAATTTGCAATTGTCGAAAGTCAGTAAAATTAATTGGCACAACTACCTGAACACACTATCCCACATTGAAATATTGAGGTGGGAGTAAAATGCAAATAAAATAAAGAGTTAAATAGTAGAGAGTAAAGCTGGTCTAAAATCAGAGATGTTAATTCAATTAAATTCAGTGTATTTATATAGCACCAATCCACAACATGTAATCTCAATGCACTTTACAATTCAACCAGGTCATACAGTCAGATTGATTCAAAGTTTTCTATCTAAGGAAAACCAGTTGATTGCATTGACTCGAAGGCAATCCCTCATGCTAAGCATGCTTGTAGTGACAGTGAAGAGGAATAACTCCCTTTTAAAAGGAAGAAACCTCCAGCAGAACGTGACTCGGTGTGAGCGGCAACCACTGAGGCCGCCTGGGGTTCAAGGAGACAGAAGCAGACATATACCCCACTTACAGTACCCTTGAAAAACCGATCCATGCCGAGACCGGTCCGAGCTCGGATCAGTTAACCAGGCCAAGTTCGGTTCTGACGACCGTTTACACATTGCGCTATCTCGGTTCCTCGCCTCCTAGTGACGATCTGCGGTATTACTGCCAGTATTGAAGGAGGAAATCAAGCAGTTGGTGGCGGTAATGCACCAAAAGTTGTTTGCCGACCGCCATAAAACACAAGAAGAAGAAGACGAAGAAGGAGGGAATCAAGCAAATCAAAATGGCGGAGCCCGTCACATTCAGAAAGTTATGCTTGATTATTATTATCATCGCAGGTCGCACCACCCTCTTTTGAAGCCATTATTCAAAATGTTGGAGAAGATTTCAAATGTTATTTATAGTTGTTGTTCTTCTTCTGTTTTGTGTTGGTTGGCAAGCAACTTCCGGAGGGGCATTACCGCCAACTACTGGAATGGAGTGTGAATCGGGACGTGCAGCCAGACGGAGATGACGCGTTCTGCTCATGCGCTCTTGTTATCAGAGAACCGAGCCAGGGAAAAACCGAGCCGAGCCCACCTCTGGAACTGGTCTGCAGTTAGCTCGGTTCAGTTCAGTTTGCTTTCCATTTACACATGATAAGTTAGCTCAGTTACTGAGCTCGGACCGGTCTCAACACGGTTTTTTAAGGGTAGTATAAATGGGGTATTAGAAAAAAAAACAGAGATACAATTGGCAACTGCAAACCAGCTCCACAAGCGGCCCCATTCAGGAAACACACAGCCAGGCAGACAAGCTCAATGCCAGCTCCTATGTCACAGTCAGAGAAACAGGACTACTCTGAAAAAGAGGTTGATCTCCAACATCTATAAACAAAGGTGTTTATGACAGCAGCCAGAGATGGCAAATATACTCACTTTCCGTTCTTGAGTAAAAGTACAGATACTTGTGTTAAAAAATACTCTGGTAAAAGTGGAAGTACTGATTAAACTTCTTTACTCAAGTAAAAGTAACAAAGTACAGGCTTGTAAATTTACTTAAAGTATAAAAGTAAAAGTAGAAACCACTTTTTTCATGCCGTTGCCTACATTTTAAATGGATGTCTGCCAATAGGACTAGATCTCCGTTGTGTTCATTTTCAATCATCTCGTCGTCCATACTACTATGCTAACGCCACCGCCACCAAGCTGCAATGATTTGCCGCGAATGAATACCGCTGAATCTGTCGATTCATCTTGTAGTGGTGCGTCAAATGCAACGTAGATTCCCATCCAATTAGATTGAATTTGGTATTGATGACGTGAAAAATAATAACGGTAACTCCATTGAAATGATTCAAAACTAAAGTAACGAGCCAATTTTTTAAAACGTAAGGAGTAGAAAGTACAGATATTTGTGTAAAAATGTAAGGAGTAGAAGTAAAAAGTCGCCATAAAAATAAGTAGTAAAGTAAAGTAAAAATATCAGAAAAATCTACTTGAGTACAGTAACAAAGTATTTGTACTTCGTTACTTCCCATCTCTGACAGCAGCACAGGTGATATTTCTTTCCAGGCTGGTGTCACAGCCAAACAGGGGCAGAAAAAATTAAACTACAATGAGAAAAAGCAGAGGGAGCATAGTGTTAGAGATTGTACTAACAAATTCTGCAAAATGGGAGAGTAGAGATAGAATGAAGCAGACTGATAAAATGATAAACTTGCCCAATATAATGTTTGACAAATATAGTTCCTAATATTCATTTTTGTATATATATCAATGAAACATGTTTGTTTTCTAAATGTTTTTTGTAATTCGGTATTTTTTAAGTTTCCAGGTTCCTGGTGTGTATATGCATGCGTCAGATAATGAACTCAAGCCTACATTACCGTGACAACATGCTTTTCAATCCTTCATGCACATTCTTTTCAAACAAAACTTTGCTTTAAATTGTTGTGTGCTTGGAAAAATATAAATTGTAATGTTAAAAATCTAAAAAAAACTTGACAGGTTAAAAACTTAAGATTAATCACAAGACAGAGTCAGTGTCACAAATGAATAACTTTTATTTTAGAGTCAAGGTATGTTTATACAAGATAATACTATTAATATAATGTGACTTTTCTAGAGAATCATTATACATAGTTATTTTATACAGGGTTTCCACGGTCTTACATCATTTCAGAATTCCCTAAATTCTGAAATAACTGACTCAGGATTAGTTTTCCCTGACAAAATAAATGCAGTAACAAGACAATAATAATAACATAACAGGTCACCAATTTAACATGTTTAACATTTAAATGCTCCTCTCCAATGTCTAAGAGAAATAAAAATTAATGAATATGTTTTTATGTATTACCTGCATCACTGTACAGAAGACTGCCATATGATAGTGCTTTCTAGCTTGTTTGTCGTTTTGGTCTCATGCCATCTGGCAGAAAATCACCCGGCTTTTTCAAATCACGCGAGAATGTGTACAAAACAATAAAAATGGTGCCGGCAACTCTTCTGGGTCGTTCTCATCGAATGTCGGTGATTTTAAGGTAATTTTGAGTGATAATTATTTTTTTTTTTTGCGATCATTAAACTTGCCCGCCGGGCAAATGCAATGAAATTTGTACTCTCCCAACAATAAAAACTACTTGCCCCAGGAGATCAGGCGATGGTTAACATGGAGCCTTGCACAAGTAAACCTGCAGATAAAGAGCAAAGTGCTCTGTTAGGAACATAACGAACAATCATTTCTCTGATATAAGACGGAGCTTTTCCATTTAAGGCTTTATTTGTGAGAAGTAGGATTTTAAATTCTCTTCTTGATTTCACAGGAAGCCGATGAAAAGAAGTCAGCATAGGACAGATAGGATTTCTACTTGTCCAGTGTAGTGAGCTAAGCTATCAGTTACTCAACAATAAATGAAGCTTCACTACACAAAAGCTACCACCTAAAGAATTATAGCAAGCTAAGTTACACTAATGTGTTAACAGTAGCGTAACTACATCAGAATCTACCCAGCCAATTAACCAGGTGAGTCCAGTCTGCACAGGTTAATTCACGGTGAAGATTGGACTCACCTGCTTCAGTGGCTGGGTAGAACAAATACATGACATGGAGATGACTTGTTGACTCCACATTGCCCATGTCTGATGGATACACACTAATAGTAAAGACTAAGTTGCAGCAAGAGATAAATACAACCACTATTAATAATCTATAATAACCATAGGTTCTGCTTTCCACATATGGGTATCTAAGAGATACCTGCTGCTTTTTGATGTTCACTTTGGTTGTCTTCTGTTTTCTATTGTTATGGGTTTTTTCCCCCTGTCATCCTCATGAAGGTGCGGAAGCAGACGTCTAGGAGCTACTGTATATCTTCTGAGTTGTCTATTTTAACTATTTTGTTCTATTTTCTCTTTTTAATGCACCTTTCCCTCTTTCCTGTCTCTATATCTTTCTCTCTCCACTTAGTTCTTATCTCCTCTTTCTTTCTCACCTCCCTTTCCATCTCTGTATATAGTTAGTACAAAATGCGGCGGCTCGTATTTTAACGGGGACCAGAAAACATCAACACATGACACCAATTGTTGTGTCTCTGCAAGGGCTCAGTGTTCATTTTAGAATTGATTTTAAGATATTATTGTTTGCGTTTAGAGCTTTGAATGGGACTCCTCAACACATTACCGACCTCCTCCATATTTACTCTCCAGCACATCCTCTTCGGTCTCAGGGTGATCTTGAGCTAATAGTCCCCTAAGACGAGACTTAAAAGAACCTTTTGTGCAGTTGGCTCCAGACTTTGTAATACTTTTCCCCTCAATATATGAACAGCTTCCACAGTGGAGTGTTTTATTCTTTGGCTTTTAACAACGCATAATTGTGTGGTCTTCCGTATCCTTTTTATTTCATTCATTTTAAACTCTTACTGCTGTTCTGTGTGTGATTTGGGGTTTTTGTTTGTTTTTATCTACAGCACATTGGAAACCTTTTTTGTTGTTAAATGTGATATGTAAATAAACTGGATTTGATTGCTTAAAATAGATGGCTGAAAGTGAAGCTCACTGGATACAAAAAAATCTATACTTTCAGCTGTTTTTTGTTAGATTATTTTTATAAAAAATTTTTTCCCTACACTCATACACTTCTATAATTTTTCAGTTTATTTTCTTTATAAGACTGTAAAATAAAACAACAAAAGCACACATTGGTATTTTTGATTTCAACATTACAATTACAATGTTAAATAAATTACAAAGCTGGATGTATATAAATACCTTTGCATGCTAATGAAAAATACTCTGTGATCCCGATTTTGTATCTTCTATTAAATTCACAGATACTACATCACACTGCTGCAGACCCTGCTGACCTGCGATGAGCAGACGGTGACAACAGTGAGGGCAGGGGTTATGGCCCGCCTGGGGCCTGACATGGAAAGTTTCCTTCAGCTTTTCCAGAATAAACCCTGCACCCCCAGCTCTGACTCCACAGCCTACAACAGCCCAGCCATTTGGAGGAACATGCCTGTTTTTAACATTCAGCCTGGCTTCAGAGGCCGCGACCCAACGCACCTGTTTGCCAAAAGATCTGCAGTCAACCTGAAGAAGAAGCAAGTTCAAGTGAATGAAAAATAAAAAGAGAAAAAACTAAAACTAAATAATGTGGTGACTTGTGATAGCTAACAGATGTAAATGGTAATTTGGTTGAGTTTTAGATAATACACCAGTTAACTGTTGTGATCCTGTTGTATCCATTGTAAAGGGTTGCCTTTATAACTCAAATTGATATTTATTATTCTAGATTAACATATAAGTCAGTTATGGTGGGGGCAAAAAAAGAAGGGCGTGTTTAAAAGATGCTTTCATGCTGGTCGTGGAGCTCCTTGTGGTTTTGTCCTTACTGATCTATAAATACATTTATAAGCTGTATGTTACGTTTAAAATGCTTAAATGTCTATCAAAATGTCAGCTTGTGCTAAATTTGAAATAAATACACTCACTTGACTAATATCTGTGACAGTATTATTTCCACCAAATATATTTTCTAAACAATGCGGATCATAATTGGCTACACATGACATTAATTTCAAAGGCCTATAAGCTTTGCGACATAAATGTAATTTCTGACAATATGTAATTATAATTTAAAACTATGCTGCTATTAAGCTTTATGGGAAATGGCTAGACAACAGAAATATTTTCAAATACTGTTTAGTCTGTAACATCAATGACACTGAAAGTCTATGTTTACATTGCTTCATGTTCGTGCTCTCAAATTACCATTAGACTCGAGAGGATTTTAGGCAGTTGCCTTGGGCCTAAGTTCCAGGGGGCCCCAATAAGCTCCTTTTACATGTACACAGTAAATATTGCATCGTTAAAGTAACACTTAAAGAGGGCATTTGGTCCTCAAACTAAATCCGTTTTGGCCTTTAACAATGCAGTATTTACTGTGTATGGTTAGTACAACTTTTCCCTACGGTGGCCGACAGGTGCAAATGCGCAGCAAAAGAGAAAACATGCAAACAAAAAAAAAGACACGCTCACAAATTAAATGCGGCAAACAAAAAGCAAATAAAATGCAGCAAACAAAAAGAAGACACCCCCGAATGAAATGCAGCAAACAAAAAGAGAGACGCAAACAAAAAGAGTGA